TGTCCGGACCAGATCTGCAAACGCACTGCGCTGCATTTTTGCCACATTCTGGTGCATTTTTCGTCTTCGCTTAAAATGGGTTTTCAGGTGCAGTCCGGTGCATTTGAATGTGTTGTCACAGGACGGTGCCGCCACAGGATGACGGTGCTGTCACAGGAAGGTGCTGTCACAGGAAGGTGCTGTCACAGGACGGTGCTGTCACAGAACGGTGCTGTCACAGAACGGTGCTGTCACAGGACGGTGCTGTCACAGGAAGGAGCTGTCACAGGAAGATGCTGTCACAGGACGGTGCTGTCACAGGAAGGTGCTCACGCCACTTCTGGGCTGTCATGTTGTTGTTTTTTGTGCATTTTTTCTGTATATAAAACACAATTCCGGTTGGCAGCCCTGCCTATGGGGGGTCACATCATCTGGGGGGGCTTGGTGTCAGATGGGCCTTAGACCTACACTGCGCTGACCTATACAAGAGACCTGCCACGTCACAATACCTCTGTGAAAAGCCTCAGATAGGAGCTGCGCAGAAGGACAGTGAATCAGCGTGAGAGTCTATTGATGCTCTTTCTGAACCGCAATGTAGCTCAGCAGTTAGGCGGATCCCATCTGAGGTTCTTCGTCCTTATTTTGCACTCTGGCCGGTTTATTTGAAGGATGGAATGAGACCCATTCATGAAATAACAGGACATTCGGGTTTAAAGGGAACCTGCCATTGCAGCCGTTACATCTGACAAGCTCCATGTAAGTTAATACATAAGGCAATGAAAACTGTACATGACCATGGACCCATAGCAAGCAGCCAGCTTCCATTTACAGAGCCGGGTCTAGAACAATGGATTCTCTCACGCCATCATGTGGAGAACAGAGGTACTGCAACCTTCTGCTTATATACACCTCTCTCTCGCCATCATGTGGAGAACAGAGGTACTGCAGCCTTCTGCTTATATACACCTCTCTCTCGCCATCATGTGGAGAACAGAGGTACTGCAGCCTTCTGCTTATATACGCCTCTCTCTCCCTCGCCATCATGTGGAGAACAGAGGTACTGCAGCCTTCTGCTTATATACACCTCTCTCTCTCACCATCATGTGGAGGACAGAGGTACTGCAGCCTTCTGCTTGTATACACCTCTCTCCCTCGCCATCATGTGGAGAACAGAGGTACTGCAGCCTTCTGCTTATATACGCCTCTCTCTCCCTCGCCATCATGTGGAGAACAGGAGGTACTGCAGTCTTCTGCTTATATACGCCTCTCTCTCCCTCGCCATCATGTGGAGAACAGGAGGTACTGCAGTCTTCTGCTTATATACGCCTCTCTCTCCCTCGCCATCATGTGGAGAACAGGAGGTACTGCAGTCTTCTGCTTATATACGCCTCTCTCTCCCTCGCCATCATGTGGAGAACAGGAGGTACTGCAGTCTTCTGCTTATATACGCCTCTCTCTCCCTCGCCATCATGTGGAGAACAGGAGGTACTGCAGTCTTCTGCTTATATACGCCTCTCTCTCCCTCGCCATCATGTGGAGAACAGGAGGTACTGCAGTCTTCTGCTTATATACGCCTCTCTCTCCCTCGCCATCATGTGGAGAACAGGAGGTACTGCAGTCTTCTGCTTATATACGCCTCTCTCTCCCTCGCCATCATGTGGAGAACAGGAGGTACTGCAGTCTTCTGCTTATATACGCCTCTCTCTCCCTCGCCATCATGTGGAGAACAGGAGGTACTGCAGTCTTCTGCTTATATACACCTCTCTCTCTCGCCATCATGTGGAGAACAGGAGGTACTGCAGTCTTCTGCTTATATACACCTCCTCTCTCTCGCCATCATGTGGAGGACAGAGGTACTGCAGCCTTCTGCTTATATACACCTCTCTCTCTCTCCATCATGTGGAGAACAGAGGTACTGCAGCCTTCTGCTAATATACACCTCTCTCTCACCATCATGTGGAGGACAGAGGTACTGCAGCCTTCTGCTTATATACACCTATCTCTCTCTCTCGCCATCATGTGGAGAACAGAGGAACTGCAGCCTTCTGCTTATATACACCGCCTCTCTCGCCATCATGTGGAGAACAGAGGTACTGCAGCCTTCTGCTTATATACACCACCGCTCTCTCGCCATCATGTGGAGAACAGAGGTACGGCAGCCTTCTGCTTATATACACCTCTCTCTCTCTCGCCATCATGTGGAGAACAGAGGTACTGCAGCCTTCTGCTTATATACACCTCGCTCTCTCCGTCATGTGGAGAACAGAGGTACTGCAGCCTTCTGCTTATATACACCTATCTCTCTCGCCATCATGTGGAGAACAGAGGTACTGCAACCTTCTGCTTATATACACCTCTCTCTCTCTCGCCATCATGTGGAGAACAGAGGTACTGCAGCCTTCTCCTTATATACACCACCTCCCTAGCACTGGGGTTCTTCCCCCTGCGTTTGCGGAAGCTGGCGGTCCCTGTAGGTCCCACTGGTCTTGGAGCAGGAAGGTGCATTTTGTGCACCCGCCCTGCTATTGCCGGTGTTACATCTTGACATAATACTGGGAATTAGGCAAAGTAGGTACCTGCATGGTGCCCCTCTATGGAGGCACATGCCTACTCTGCCTAATGGTAAATCCAGCCCTGCTGCTCTTTCTCGCCATCATGTGGAGAACATAGGCACTGCAGCTTTTCTGTTTATAGACCTTTTCCTAGGAGCTGTCTGAGTGTGTAGGTGATGAAGATGGGAGAAGAACACAAAAGGACCAAGGGGGGAGTATATATAATACAAGGACCATGACTAACCTGGAGTCTGGTAGTTAAGGCGCCTCATTTCCACCGGGTCAGAGGAATTGGCCAGCAGAGAGTCTTTCAGTCCAGGCATTTGGTCCTCTTTGCTAGAGGGAGAGTTGGTCCTTTTCCTGTTAATTAGAACAATGAATATATATTATGGAACAGATAAAACAACATTATTATGATAATCAGGGTTAAAGAAAAGGATCATTTCAGTGTATAGACTGGACACCAATTCTCACTCGATACAGAAGACACAAGAACTGTGCACACAGATCTGATCTATATTGTGACAATGAACTAGGACTGCCCATGCTGGCTCCTGATCTATGAAGGATAAAGTGACACTAAAGTCAGTTAAAATGTATTCAAGTCCCTTAACTCTGAGCAACAATGTATCTTATTTGTGTATCACTCGGGTGTAGATCCTCCAATCATCTCTGATACTGTCCTCTGGAGGGGGGCTACGTCTGTTCCCCATGGTCCCTGTGTGTGTTGTCAAGCTGTAATGGAAGCGATCTCTAGCAGTCTTATATAACATTTCCCCAGCTTCTAACAATCACCTGCAGTATATTCCTTCCTTCAACTACCTGTAGAATGTTACCGGTCTCTTACCATCACCCAGCAGTGTATCAACAGTCTCAGTGCTGCATTATCACAAGGGCTACAGGAGAGCCAAGTCCAGGCCCACCACTGAAAATAGGCCCTGGATGGCCTCCGTATGCTCAATGGCAATCTGAGCCGGCCGGGCTGAACACATTTAGGTAGAGGCATATTGCGGTGCTCGCCGGGACCTTGCAGGGTCTCAGCGAAGAGCGAGCAGGCGCCTAATTAGAGAGCCGCCTCTGTTTCCCATCTGACCGACCGGCAGCAGCGCCAATGATGCTCATAATCCTGCCCTGCTTGCCTTACATATACGGTATAATGTGTGTGGGCCCCCCAGGGGATCTCACAGGTCACCGTTAAGGCCCCCTCTATCTAGATGGTGACTGCCTGATTGGAATTCACAGGCTGTTGATTGATACTTTGTATCACCGACACACAAGCACAGTTTAGTTAATAAGTAATCACAGAAATGTGGCGCCGCGCTTAGCCCTGTGCTGCCAATGGGAAATCGCCCGATAATATCCTCTGGCCTGTGGACCTTTATCTAAATTTTTAGTCACATTGTAGGAAAAATAAATTATCAGGAGGTTTTTAACTCTCCAGCATCCACCAGACACTGAAATATCAGATTTAGGAAAGCCCTTCGCTCAGGCTTATAGAGTATAAGATAAGAGCACAGCCATCACCTACCGCTCCTGCTTACTGTATCCACGACAAGCACAAACAAAGAGAGAAGCAGATACGTTAATTTAGAGAGAAGAGAAAGCAGATCAGCAAATGACAGATTATGAAGCGTATTTATAAAACGTTTGCAGAGCAAACAGCTCTACAAATGTCTGAGTATTAGGGTGACCGCACAATATGGCCACTAGATGTCACTCAGGAGCACAGGAAATCTCAGCTCCTTGGCGCCATCTAGTGCCCATAATGAGCAGCGACTCTAAAACTCAGACAGTCGCAGAGATGTTCGCTCTGTGAACGGTTTATAAATACACCACTATCCCTATGTCGTGCGTATTGAAACATTTGAAGGAACTGTCTACGTTTCCATGAGGACCAACCAGATTCTCCCTTTCACTCTAAGTATGACAGTGATTAGATGTTTCCATCAAATTAAAAAAAATCACCATTTTAGAACCCTTCCGCATGCGGGAGGTCAGTGTCTTTAATGACACTCGGGTATTCTACCGGGATTTATTAGAGAGCCATACAATCTATAGGCCCGCCACCCCCCCTCCGTATGCGGATACCACAGTCTATTAAGAAAAACTCGAATTCTACATTACTATATACTGAACAAAACAAAGCGCAGAGAAGCCGCCTACAAAAACTTTTCCTGCAATACCAGAAACATTAAAAAAGTAAAAACTATCCTACACTCTAGCACATGGCCCTGAGAACAGTTACATGATCGACCGCGTCTGGGTGCAGTCTTAGTGCACAGTGGCCAGGCTTACCTCTTGAAGAGAAGGATGGCAATGACGATGATGATAATGAGGATGACTGCCAAGACCGGGCCCATCACCCACAACATCTCCGGCTCCTCCTGTTGTCTAGATGAGGAAACTTCCTTAGTCTGAGTGTTCGGGAGGGATGGGGCATAATATCTATCCATATAGGATAGGCTTCTATAGGATAGACAAGGCTTCTACCTAGAACTGGAGGCTCTCATTGCCTAACCCCTGGGTTGGGGGGGGGGCATCTCTGGCTCTCCAGCTGTGCTTTAACTACAACTCCCAACATGCCTGTGGGAGGCATGCCTGTAACTGTCAGTTTTGCAATACCTGACGGGACTTGTAGTTCCACCCCCGAGTTGCCCACCCTTGCATTAGGTGGTTCTAGTCAAGACAGGCCTCCTATAGATGTGCACCAGCCTGGAGTTAGATCAACAGGAGCTCTCAGTGCTGAGCAGAAGACTTGGCTGAGACTTGAGTGGTAATGACAGGTTCACTTTAAAATATGAAGGTTTGGTCTTGTGCTCACAGTGGTGTCACTGTGGGGGAAGAGTCCACACCAAGTGCAGCACTGTGTCTAAGGCAGGCGACTGAAGCCCTCCAGCTTGTGCCAAGGTAAGCTTGGAGTTTCTTGAAGCTGAGAAGCAGCTGACCGCCGCGGGGCCCTCGAACACTCGTCCTCCTAAATTCCTGAGTGATTAATATGCATTTAAATACATGTTCCATCATGCATTGCGGTCACATGGGAGTGCATCGTGTCAGACTCACCGTGTCCCCGTCTTCTAGAGCTGCCATCACAAAGCAGGTGTAGCTCAAGTCGGCGTTCAGCGGCTTGTTGATGAACCCGTTATATTCCTTGTTGTCACCGAGAGTGAAGACTTCTGGGAGAGGGTTGAGGCAAGCAGCAATGTACGGCTTATTCTTTGCCGTTTGACGTCTCTGCCGGCGGGAGCCCTGATTAATGGCGTCCAGAATCTAGGGGAGGAAAGGATCACAACTTGAGAAATGGCATTTTATACATTAAGGGGGGGGGGGCGCCAATGGTCATAGAGTCCAAAAACAATCTTTTATTAAGCAAAGAGTGACATAGGAGAGCAGAGATCCGACGCGTTTCAGGGGGTAAACCCTCCCCTATCATCAGAGCTGATATGTCATGTGACCTCAAAGGCGATTTGGATTCAGTAGAATTTAGGTATAATGTATAAAATCGGATAGTAACACCAGCAAACTGTGCATCATGGACTACAGTGTTCCACCCACCCCACCCCTCTCTGCATACACACATTGATTTCTTACCCAGCGCAACTATTGCTGCTGCCTTGACTACCAAGAGCGTGCCCACACACTGTGTGCAGGGAAAGGGCTCTTGGGAGATGTAGTTCTGAGTGTGTCTATTTAAAAATAAGAAACTGATCTCCCTTCAGTTGCCCCTGCGAGGGCTGCACTGGGCTGGCAACAACATCAAAGGGAGTAAAAAGAGGGGACATTCATTTAACTGGGATGGATCGATAATAAGGCATCTTTAAAGTGTATTCCCAAGCATTACCTACATTTCCTCCAACCCCACCCCCCAGAGCATACCCCAGCATGATTTTTTCTGCCTTGTTACTGTGTTTTTATGGATGAAGTAAAGGTTGCAGAGAAGCTTGCATATGTTAGTGGAGAAGAGTTCTTTCCTTCCGCCTTGAATGCCTTAGCCATTGTATGCGAGTGAAGATTGTTCAAACATTATTCTTTTCTCCGCTCAGCCTATTGTGCTGACATGTAAGGCGGAAATTGCCTGAGACAGTAGAACATGCCCTGCACTCTCTCCAAGGTCAGAACTGCTCCTTCCCCGTGCTCAGCCGTGATGCTGAGATTGCAGTTTATCCCAGTATTTATTGTTTGCTTAAAGTGCCCCAAAGAGAGGTGGGATCAGGGGGAGATCGAATGTCTATGTGCGATCTATAGGTAGCGCCATCCAAGGCTCGTGGTGCAGGTTGGAAAACCCAGTCTGATTACTACTGATAAGCCAACACCAGAAAAGTCTACAGAGCACCTCCCCAGTCTTTCCCCCACAGGCAACGAGGACTGGTCTCCTCAGATACTGGCCAACACAGAACACTAATGACAATCAGACCAGGCCTGTACATCCAGCTTTCCACTAGTGGTCATGGTCGGCTGCAGAGAAGCCAAATTATCTGTTTCCATCTCATGTGACCTAGCAGAATGGTTGTACCGAACCCTATATATTAAACACTATAGTTTATGGACAACTGACCATCACAACTATATGAGCTTGTTGGACATCCCATTCCAAAACCATGGCCATTATTATGGAGTTGCCCCTCCTGTTGTGGTTATAACAGCCTCCATTCTTCTTGGAAGATGTTCCACAAGATTCTGGAGGGTGTGTGGAAATCTGTGCCCATTTGCAGGGTCAGGTACTGATGTTGGAAGACCTGCCTCACAATCATTGTCCCAGTTCATCCCAAAGGTGTTAAGTAGGATAGAGGTCAGGGCTCTGTACAGGACATTTGTGAGGTCAGATGCTGATGTTGGATGAGAAGAGCTGGCTCACAATTGGTGTTGCAATTCATCCCAAAGGTGTTCATTGTGTTAGGTCAGATCTCTGTGCAGGACACTCGAGTTCATCCACAACTCTGGTCACCCCATGTTTTTATGGAGATGGCCTTATACACATGGGACCAGTCATGGTGGAACAGAGAAGGGTCTTCACCAAACTGTTACCATGAGATTGTAAAATCACAATTGTCTACAATGTCTTTTTATGGTGCAGTATTCAGAGTACAATCACTGGGAAGCCCAGAACTCCATCATTTAGAGGGAGGTACTCATACATATGTCTGCAGGTGGCTTTGACTGCTGCTCAGAGAACCTCCCCATAATTCACAAGCTTATTGAATAAAAACCTTCAAAGGCCTCCTCAGTATCCTCATATCCGCCTCTTGTTAGGTTCAACAATAGCAATGTAAAGCTGAAAACCAATGTATCGGAACTTTTTTCGGGAACACAATCTAATCATTCAATCAGACAGAGAGGAACTATGGAGGCAGCTGTTAAAGAATGAACACATTCTCTTTATTATAAAGAAAGTCTGAAGCTCCCGAGCTGTATGGCAGAAGAAGACACAAGTGGGACTGAAGCTTTGCCATTGTTCCATATACAGCAGTGTATGTGAAGAGGGTGTAGAGATATAACAGTGCTGTCCACTAACCTGCTCCAGTTCCATTTCTTCTGGGCTTTGCCAGCGAGGGCTTACACTGGAACTGTCCAAGGGAACGACCACAATGTAATACCATCTGGAGAGTAAGAGATACAAGAGAGGATGAGACACTGATCGGTTAGTAAGAAGAACAGGTCTCCAAGGTGGCCCTGCAATGTTTTCAGGAAGCTATGTACAGCAATCCCCTCCCACCAGCTATGATTTGCCGACATTACATACAGAAGCACAGAGACTCAGATATGTAATGAAAACGGAAAGCTCACAGTGTGCAGTGAAATCAGGGTAAGCACTTTCAGGAGAGGACCCGGGACAACTGTACAAGACTGAAAGGAAAGTCAGAGTTAACTTAATAAACAGGTCACACTGGGAAAGCTGTGCAACTGATAGTCACCTGACGGGGGCGCTGGTCTTTACTCGCGGCAGCTCAAGGGTAAACCGGCCTTCCTCCATGTATTTGGTAGCAGATGAAGGCTTGGTCTGCAGGACGTCAGGAGCCGTGCGGATGGACACTCTGTGTTGGAGACCACCGGCGCTGCTCCCGCGGTTCATGAGGACAAAGGAATAGTCTGTGTCTGGCTGGAGGTTATTGATGAGCTTGCGCATTGAGTGACCGTCCACCTCTACATGCTGGTTGTTGTATAGAATCTGCCAACGGAGAAAAACATGAAGCACAACTTCAAAGAAGGATTTCATAGCATTCACAGATGAACCGGTTCTACGCACTTACAGGAGATATGTATAATGTAGGTAATATCGGGATATCTAAGTAGGTGCCCATCAATAACGTAGATGATATAGGCAGATACATTGGTTCTTGCATTATATCATGGGAATGACCCAATTTGGTCATACCAATCCCTCCCCAATACTCTGTTGAGGAAAACTTTGCTTACTTCTTGAGTGTCTATACAGACTCGCCTTCCTTATGGTTTTAGAGATTTTAACAATGTCATGGATTTATCTAGAGATATGTTTGGTACTGTTATGGAGGTCTACAGTGACTCACTGGTCCTGGTAGATATCTGGCGCTCCCAGCACCCAGCTGGTAACCAATACACTTTGTTGTTGTCCTGCCCATGGAATGCTCTCTGGAATGGACTTGGAGCTGGATAATAAAGTCTTTCTTGCTATGGTTTGCCAATGTACCATTGAACGTAAAGGTCTGTCTGGTCACTCCGTACTTCTGGTGGGATTCTCATTGGAAGACTTAAAGGGGGGGGGGGGCTATGTGGAAGCTTAACCTCTTTTTGGCTTAGCTAGTTCTTCTGCGACAACCTCATCCACACCCAACTGTTTGTATTCCATGACTGCAGCAAGGGTTCCACCCATTCCAATATAGTGCGGGCTCCGGGTGTCACCCAGCCTCGGGACGCCCCTGATTAGTGTATAGATATATTATTTCAACTGTGTATTTAGCAAATTTTGGACTGGATTTCCACTTAGTATTATGTTGTACGCATGCCCCCTGTACTGATATTATCATTCAACTCCCTCCAGTAAAGTAAAGTTTGGCCAACAACTTGTCCTCCGCCAACGCTACGCACAGCACCCAGAGTTCTGTGCATCCACCTCAAGCAGAGCCACGAGAGCCTCGGACACTAACCTTGAAAGGCACGGCGGATTTGTACGAGTCTGGAACTTCCCAGCTGAGCAACACCGATGTTTTCATCACCGCGTTCACCCTGAAATTCTTTGCGAACACTGCCGGGAGAGGAAAAAAAGAGAACCTCTTAAGGGAGTTCTATAAAAGGTGTAGATTTCTGGTGCATTTTCATACTAGCTATTATTTTTTATTGTTAACCAACACATGTATATATGTATATGCTCAGGAAGAGATCTGGGGGCAGGGAGATGAGATTACACACACATCGTTTCATTTCTTGGCATGGTTAAGTTTACGCAAGGCAGCAAAAATATCTTGGAAGCTGCAAAGGTAAAGCGCACAGCCAAAATGTTTTTTAAATATGTATCAAATAATAATTAGAAAAAAGGTAAAAAACATATAGCCGAAGCCTAACCCCCCCCAAAAGGGGAAATGGAGGGGGCTGGATAAGGATAGGCAAACAGAAAGAGGGCAAGGACTAAGAAATGTTATAAAAGTTGTGGAAAAGGCTTTTGGAGATAGCATGAGGTTCCATATTCCATCCTTTATACACAATCCAATGGCTATGGGTAAAAACTAGGGATGCACCGATACCGGTATTTTGGTTACGAGTACCAATATTATTTTTTCGGTACTCGCCGATACCAATTACCGAGTACCGGAAGTCCCATTCAGGAAGCCAGTCTCGCCACCTGGCTTCCTGATTAGCCGGGAAGCGTGTAAAGACTCGCCCCCCGGCTTCCCGATTAAGAAGAAAGCCGTCCCATGCTTCTGGTCACTATGTGATGAGAAAGCATGGAGCCGGCTTGCTGGCCAATCATGGAAGCCGGGCGCCGTGTAATGACGCGCTGCCCGGCTTCCTGATACAGGAAATATCGGGCTAGGCATCGGAGCATTTAGGCAAGTACGAGTACTCGCCCAAATACTCTGTATCGGCACCGATATCTATACTAGTATCGGTATCGGTGCATCCCTAGTAAAAAACTAATTTAAACTCTCCACAATGTATATAGATTATTATGATCACACTCCTACAAGATGACCCCGGTCCTTCCAACATCCATACCTTGGTCCACAGGCATCGTGCGGGACTGTATGCTGGGGCTGAGGGGCCCGGCTCCCTTGCTGTTCCTTGCCCTGACTTTAATATCATAGGTGGTGTCTGGCTTGAGGTTGACTAGAGTGATATGTGTGCCACGGGTGATGTTGAACATATCCTGAGGGCTGTTGATGTCGCGGTACACCACTGTGTAGTTCGCGATCTTTCCGTTCCGTTCTGACAAGACTGGCGGGTCCCAGGACACCTCGGTGGTGGACGTGGTGAGCCCAACGACCTGCAGGTTCTGCGGGAACCCACTGGGAACGTCCTCCGGCGTGGAGATCTCCTTCTCGTACTCCTCTCCGAAGCCGGCCCGGTTCTTGGCGCACAGCTTGAAGACGTAGGTGGCGCCCCGGTGTAGTTTGGTCACCGTGTAGTGGTGATCATTCTTCCCAAAGTCCATGGTGATGAACTTCTCCTCGTCCACCCGTTTATACTGCAGGCGGAAGCCCTGGATCTCTCCCGCCGACTCTCTGGGTGGATGCCACTGGACGAGCGCCGTGTTCTGGGACGTGGTGCCGATCACCATGCTGGGCTTGCCTGGCACTGAAATGACAAGTTTCATATTATGAAGGATTCTCAGTTGTATAGAACATAAAGCAGTGCTGCCAGTTTTGTCTATTTTACGGGGCGCCTTACAAGGATATTGTTGAATAGAAACATAGTGACCCTCGTTCTAATCAGGGAACAAGGTTCCTGACCTCCCTGTAGAAGCAGGAGCTCAGCTTGGTCAAGACCACACCCCCAGACTGCGGATTGGACAATGAAGGAGCTGCGGCACACTGATGAGTCATCATTTTGCTCACACTGCTTGCTTCTGCTGTCAGCAAATGTGCAGGCAGCAGGTTGTGATTGGCTCACAATGCTGGCCCCTCCCTCTCCCAGGCTGAGAACTGCTTAGAGGAGGATGATGTGAAAACAAATTCAGGTGCTTACACTATATGCATATAAAAATAAAGTTAAAATGTTTAAAGCCTACATTCCTTTTTCTTCAGATGGGGAGTGGGAAAGCGTTACATTTGTAATTTCTGTCTTTCACTCCATCTGGGAGATTTTCCCTCACTTCCTGTCCCCGTGACTACCTTGCACCTTGAAAAATTAGGCTTGAACACAGCTTAGTTCTTCATCACTATAACATTGGTGGTACTCACCGGCCCCCGTAGTGGTCACAACTTTGGGCTTACTCCTGGCGCCGTCTCCCTTCGTGGTATAAGCCGCCACGGTGATTGAATAGGTGGTCTCTGGGGACAGCCCAGTAATAAAGGCCTCCTGTATATGAAAAAACAAGAGAGCAGTAAAGTTTACACATGAGCTGCCAGCGGTGCAGTTCTGCATTTTGCGCAGGAGGGGGAGCCGAAGGAACGCGCCACACAATAGCCACACCGCCTTTTACCAAATGTGCTTTTATTTTATTTCCTTCCCGGAGGTTACAGACTCGCTCGGCGAGGATAAGTGGCTCAGTGCGCTGCAAATCACTTATGTTAGGAGGAGAGTAGGAAGATTCCCGGTCTCGGAAGGATAATTATCGATGGAGATGCAGGCAACTCTCTGCAAAGGAGTGGACGGCGCAGCGTTTTCGAACAACTAACTGGCAATACAATTGTGCAAACAAAACCACACCGGCATACGTAAAAACAAAAAACAAAAAACCAAAGACAGAAAGCAAAATGCAATTTGTAGAGAGATAGCAATCATTATCCCCATGATTATTCAATGAGAATCACATCCCAGCAGACACAGAGAAGTGGCAGAGCTGATTGATGCCGCTTGCCCGCCCCTGTGCCCTCCTCGCCCCCCCCTTCAAGCCCTAATTTCCATGCAATACCCGTGACTTTCCAAGCTTGAAATCAAAGCAGGGAGGGCTTGAAAAACAGAGAAACAAGAGGCAGTGACAGAGGATGGATACAGAGCAGAATGCAGAGAGAATATCCCATTATTGAACCAATGATTATGGGACGGGAGCGTGGGACTGTCACAGAGGTCTCGTTGGCCTCTCGGTACTCTAGGCTGTAACGAGCGGGGCCCTCGCTTATATTTGTCCGACGTGTTTTGCAGCTTTGTGTGATTGTTGTTCCAATTTGGGTTTTTAATGCACCTGAACGATTTCCCCTTTTGTTTTCCGTACACGATACATTTTTTTTTGTTACAATTCATTTACAATCATCTTCCCTTTCCCTTGCTAGTAACACTTCCTTTGTGCGGCAGCAGAGCAGACAATGGCGCCACGCAATGAATAATAATATCAGATGGCTGTGCGTGCTGCCGGGACTGCAGGGTGCATGTGCGGTCACTGAGCTATTCGGACAGAATGCAACTGTTCATTTGAGAATTGATTCATTTCAAGAGGGGCCATTAGAATCAAAACACTAGAACATCAGAAGTGCACCCCCCACAATACCCCAACCTCTAACGATCGGCAGGCACCGTTGTGTCCTCTACTCATACAGTAAACATAAAGCCAGATATTTCTGCTGATTTTTGGGGAGCGGATTGCAAAATACGTTTATGCGTACAGCGGGTAATTGGGTACTTGCAGCAATTATAATGTATTTCTATTACAGCCCAAATGAAGCTTCACACCCGAGAAATACATTCCAGGTGCATCAATACAAAAGGCGTGCAGAATCCTGCAGTTCATTTCCTTTGGAAAGAGGAACATTCAGAGCAGAAAAGCCTGCCCGCTGCCATGCAGAGATGGACCCTTGCTGTTGGTGTGGAATAGCATAACTCATGCCCCCCGCTGATTGGAGAGCTCTAGTTCTGACTCATCAGGGGGCGTAATGGACCTCTGAAGAGTGACCACTGCTTCCACACAGAAAGCAAGGGACCCTTCTCTGCAGCATGCTGGCACGGGACAGGCTTCTGAACTCCGTGGTTACTTTCTATGGAAGACGACCTGAAAGACTCTGCACTACTAGGGTTAAAGGAGAACTATGGGGTTAAGGCTTTCCCCCATAGTTCTCCTTAGGGTAACGGGAGGACACAAACTAGCGTCCTCCCACCACCCTAAGCTCAGTATACCGCCAGCTACAGCTCGCGGTATACTGAGACGCCGCAGCTGAAGCGGATCCCGACAATTATGCCGGGATCCGCTCAGCTGCGTGACTGACAGCTGGCTCTGCCTATCTCAGCCAGTACTCGCCCCCTCCCCCGTCCGTTCCGCCAGTCAGCGCTGGAGGATCAGAGCGGGGAGGGGGGAATCCAGTCCCTCCCCTGTCACGACCTGTGACGGTCTCATTGTCACAGGTCGGCTAGAACTATGAGGTGAGTGTAAAGCACCCCCCCCCATAGTTCTCCTTTAAATGCTCGTTTTCATCTAGAGATACAAAATAATACATATACTCGCCTGAACCTCGGAGCCGGCTGGCTACAGCCTCTCCCGACCTTCGCTCCGGCAGACGGAGGCCCTGTGAGTCATCACATCCAATACAGTGTATTGGATGTAAGGACGCCGAGGGACATTTCATTGCTGGAGTGAAGGGGGACAAGAGGCTGCGGGGACCGGGAAAACAGCCAGACGGCTAAGAGGTACAGGTGAGAACATCTTTGTTATTTGCATCCCTAGATGAAAATGAGCACTTAACCCTTGCAAAGCGGGGGTAGACCCACTGCAAGGGTTGTTGGGTTACATGATAAAGGTGACATCAGTGTCCTAACTGTGATGCATTGATGATGCGCCTGCCCATGCTGGACTCCCTACAGTGTTTAGATGTGACAGGTGCTCATTAAATTTGAGGGTTTTAAGCCAGCACGAGTCGGCTCTGTGACAGCCCCTGGCTCTCCATCTTTACAATTCGATCACACAATCTGCCCACGGATTGCAAACAAGCTGTACTCACGTATTCTGCAGATTCCTCGGGTCTCCACTGGGAGGGACAGAGAGAAGAGGGGTAAATGGGATATGCAGGAAAAGGGGTTACAGGGTCACAAAAAGCAGGGGTGTGCACAGCTAATGCTGGCTCTATGAGAAGTTAGCTCTGCAAGGAGGGGATGTGTTGGAGGAATTTACAAAGATGGGTGCTCGGGGTAGAATCAGTAAAACCTCATTTGTTAATTCTCCCTCTAGTGGCTAGACTTGGCACTGCATGTGCCTAAAGGTGACCTGTCATGACAGACGTATGTAGGAGGCCACCTCTGAACATCTCCTAAAAACAACATCTGCCTTCCATGCTGATCCTCCGTCTTCAGTGCTTTCTGAGTTATCAGTACACAGCTATGAAGCTCAGGAGATATGACGTACTGAATGCTTGGTCTGGGACAGTGACTCCGGTCCTCAAGAACCCACCAACTTGCTTTTAGGTTTTCCCTTATCTTTCTCTGCTCATGTATCAGTAATCCCCAAAGCTGAGGGAAATCCTGAAAACATGATCCATTGAAGGTACTTAAGGTGAGATTACTAAGGACACACTGCACGCCATCCTTTCCACATAGCTTTGGCTGAAAGAAAGACAACTTTGGAATCCAGCCCCATCCATCCCTTCAGTTGGCAAATGACCCAATGGTCTGCCATGCAATGTGACCAATTCTCAACAGCACCCAAGTTACTCTGCACCCTACTAGCACTATGCACCCCAATGAAGGCACCCAATCCACTGTCAAGTCTTTGTGAATTCCCCTTGCCAGATACTGCAGGACTCTTTTTAGCGGGTGTTGCTCCAACCTTAGGATTAGTGGTGGTGGTGGGGAGGGGGGAGGTGGAGGAGATGGGAAAGGGTCACACCAGTGGAGATCCAACATGTCCAAATCTTGAGCCAATCCACTCTGAACACTTTTCTCGACTGCTCACCTGGGCCTCGGCCAGCATGACATCCTTAATGATAGGGTTGCCCCGAGGTTCTCCGCCCTCCAGGCGCACGTAGGTCACTTGGTAGCCCCGGATCTGCCCATTCTGCTTGGTGGGTAGAGGTGACTTCCAAGTAACACGGATGGATGTGGAATTGACCGAGTCCACCTCGACCTTCCTGGGGGGAGCGCTGGGCACTGCAGAGGGACAGGGAGGAAGGCTTCATAAATTCATACATTAGATAACAGAACCAATTTGGTACAAAAAGTGTAAAGCAAAGGACGGACCACTGGCAGCGGTGAAGGAAAGCAGATATTAGTGTTATACGAGAAGAGGTCAGGCTGTCCAGCACTTCTTGACGTGCGATATGAAATGTTAGCATGATCCGCATGTGACGGGTGCTAACAAACACGTTTTGCATTTCATATTTGACAGCAGTTGCATGACAGACATTGGAAAGCAAGGCACTCTGGGAATCAATGGGCAGCCAAATCACACGTCATGCAAAAGACCTTGCCCTTTCCTATACTGTGCACCTGCACCCCTAATAGGATTTCCCAAAGCAACAGGTTCTCTTGATGGGCCACACACTGATACTTACCTACTTACCCATGCTGCATTCCCCTGCCACTCCTTTCATCTGTTGGAGCCCCCAGAAACACTCAGTACTGCTTAGTATGGGGAACATGTCATTACTCCCACGATGCAGTGCTTGAGCATGAGCGTCCAATCGCCAGGCTCAAACACTGTCATGTGGGATGGAAGAGAAAGTCATTAACCCGATGTAGGCTCCAACACTGAACAGCATAGGATTAAACTCAGGTCTCCGCAGGAGAGCAGAGCAGAAGGTAAGTATCAGTGGGTGTGGGGGGAGGGAAATCTTTCATTTGTATAGCTAAAGCCAAAATTTTTTTTTCATTTTGGATACTGTAATGAATAGTTGAGACCTTTTTCAGGGAGTTTTTTTTTTTGCCATCTGTGTTTGAGAGATTTCCCTCCACTTCCTGTCCTGTAGGCACAACAGGAAGTAAGAGGAAATCTCTCCAAAGTGAGGGAAAAGGCTCTCTTGGACAGGGGTCACCAAGACAGTGTACCCGTTAGAATTCCTGTTTTGGTGGCTCCTCTTTCTGAATTTGGCAACTTTTTAGAATTCTATTTTTTATCTTTTTGGACATCCATTTAAAAAAAAAAAAGGCAGCGATTCTGATGGTTTTTAGCGGTAGACATTTTGCATGAGCAATTGAAGGCTAACACTGTGAAGTGACAATCACGGTATGTCGTCCGCATCGGCATGGTGACCACCACTCAGACGTGGGCAGTTTAATGTACAAATCCATGCGGCCATTACCCAGCAAAATGGAAATATGCTGGAAATCCACATTTCAGACACAACAAGTCTGCCACAGTGTTCTCAGGTTGTTCAGGTTTTGGTGTTGGGGGTGTTTTTCATTCTGCAGTCACATCGAGTAGTGCGGTAAGGACAGAGCAGATGGACAGGACAGGTGAAGGACCAGAATACGGAAGGACAGACAGCTTCGGGTGCACATAGAGCTCTTGGTGCCGCAACCCGGGAAAGTTGAGTGCAGTGAGATAAGAGGAAGGTGATAAGGAGAGAGAAGCTTGCCCGCTGCGAGGAGAGGCGATAGCGCCTCCTGACCACTTACCATCCTCATCCGTCCGTACAATGAAAAGGGGGCTCTCAGGCCCGGCCCCTACGTCCGTGTGAGCTCTCACCCACACCTTGTACTCTGTCCACTTCTCCAGATCCTTGATCTCCCAGCTGGAGACGTCTGGCGGGATACTGTCCACAATGTGGCGGGACGTGTCCTCCCCGGCCACTGCCTGGTAGGCCAGCGAGTAACGGGTCAGAACTCCATTGCGGCTAGATACCGGAGGAGCCACCCAACTTACCCGGATGGCGGTGGAGCTAAGACTGGTACACTCCACGTCCTGAGGTGGGGCGGACGGTGCTGAAGATGAAAAGAAAAAAAAAATGCAGGCAAAGGGAGGGAGATGAACATGGTGGATGCAACATGGCGAGGAGGCAAAATAAAACAAAATTCATGACTGTTACACATACACTGCTCTGTACTCTCCCTATAAGCTTCAACAAATGCTCTGTACACAGGATGGGATTTCTGGTGGGGAGAGTTTAGAAATGAATCACACAGAATGTGATTCAGCTTATTAGGAACCATGCAAGATTCAAAAAGACTCTTTATCATTCTCACACCCGCGTCAGAGTGCTATGGAAGCAGTAGATGCACTTCATGGCGTTTTAGATTGACAAGGGCATCGGAACCATAAAAAAAATAATCTTTATGCATAGCTACATGACCCAACCCCTAGTCTAAGTTTTGGGGAACTTCCATTCCCATCATGCACCCCGTGGCCATTGGGTGCAATGGAACAATGAGTCTGCGGTCATGAGCAACAATGTCCTTTGCTATCCAGAACTGGCCAGCAGGAAGTCCCAGAAGGCACTGGGGATACAGGCAGGGTGTTGAAGATGGTGGAATGGCTGATAGGACTCTCAATGGGTACAAGTTGCTGTGTTTGGCAAATAATTAAGTCCCTTCTGTCCACCTTTCACTCTGCTACTGGTCTGAGCCGGGCCAAAAAAGGACCACAAAACCCATCATCCCATCACAGCCATTGGCAGCAGGTGCATGCTGGGACTTGTATGTCCACAACCCTTAAACTAGGGTTGTGTTGGGGATACTAGCAAGATTGGTTTTCTATCGTACCCTTATCTGTGTGGCCCCCTAAACATCTGATGCATATCTACTGCTTTAAAGCTGAGCTCTGGCAATTATACAAAACCAAATGCTCGGTAAGTCTAGGAGTAGAGGAATAGGCTGTGATGCTCACCCTCTTCCTCGCTCCGGCAGGCTTTGGGTGCTCACTTTTTCTCTCTGGCGCTCCAGGTTGTAGGGGGGCCCTTGCTGTCCTCATGTGCAATGCAGGGCTATTGGTCCCGCATTGAACTTGTGACCACTGGCCGGAGAACCTTGGAGAAGAGGCTTTGAGGGACCTCGTCGAGGAAGCCTGCTGGAGGGAGGCATGTGGTAGGTATTGCATCCTATTCCTCTATCCCTAGACTTAAAGGAGAACTATGGTGTCAGGGCTTTTCCCCATAGTTCTCCTTATTGTAACGGGAGGACACAAACTAGCGTCCTCCCGTTACCCTAAGCTCAGTATATAGGGAGCTACAGCTGGCGGTATACTGAGACTGCCGGAACGGATCCCGTCATCGATGTCGAGATCCGCCCAGCTGCGTGACTGACAGCTGGCTCTGCCTATCTAGAGGCAGAGCCAGCTGTCAGTCACGCAGCTGGGCGGATCTCGACATCGATGACGGGATCCGTTCCGGCAGTCTCAGTATACCGCGAGCTGTAGCTCCCTATATACTGAGCTTAGGGTAACGGGAGGACGCTAGTTTGTGTCCTCCCGTTACAATAAGGAGAACTATGGGGAAAAGCCCTGACACCATAGTTCTCCTTTAAACAGCATTCAACCCCTGCAGTGCGGGTGGGCTCCCTGCAAGGCATTAATAGGAGGGTCAAGTGTCGGAATGCAATCAGATACAAGCACCTGAACTATAGGTACATTAATCCTCTCCTATGTCCTGAATGGTGCTATAGTTTGGGGATGACATTCACAGCAAGTGCCCGGACTATATACACATGAATTTTATTATTATTTCGTGGTGCTATGACAGCATAGAATAATATTAGAATTATTCTATACAAGTCCCATGGAGGGCAAGGGACCGGGAGTATTAATTGGTTAATTATTTTAGTATAGCAAAAACGCATTCCATGTCTGTAAATACCGACATATCCAATATGGTGACAGCAATCTATCGATCTCAGTTTAGTAACATTTCTATAGCGTGTCAATCACAGAGCAGTGTAACAGTGCAAGAATTAAAAATGATGAGCAGAACATAAAAACGGATGCAATAAAGCACTGACATGGCAAGGTATGTCATGGTATCTGCACTATGGAAAAGCAGCGTGCAAGGAAACGCTGGACATAGCACACCATCTGCATGCACGTCACACTCAGCAAGCGCAATCAGACGCATATCAAAGCACAATGCCGCCTCTGCTGCATATTATATTGTATGGCACGGCAGGGCAGCGGGCACACCACGCTTCATTAATAATACTAAAAGCCTATCTTACTCTCTTACACCTAAGCAGTATTTAGAAGTAAGCATTGTGCCCAGGGCTGTCCCTTTTAAGGAGGTAGCCTGAGACTGTTGCCTCAGGCAGCATCTCTTTGGGTCACCTGGGGGACGGCAGCCAGAGCGTTTGTTGTATAGTAGCCACTCTGCTGGACATTGCCGCCCTCTTTACAGCCAGAGCAACCCAGGTTGCTAAGATCCGGGTGCGGAAATGTGCAAGGGCCATGCCCTGCCCAACTTTTAGCAACCTGGGACGCTCTGGCTGCCACCCCGTCCAGCTCCTGGCAACCAGTGACATCACAGTTACATCACTGGCTGCCAGGAGCTTTTCGGGGCGCCAGGTCAGCATCATTCTAGTGCAGCAAGCCCTCCAGCTATGCTTTAACTACAAATCCCTACATGCCTCTGCGAGTCATGCCCTGTAACTGTCAGTCTTGCAATGACTCATGGGACTTGTATTTCTGCAACAGCTGGAGGGCCGGAGTAGCCTACACCTGCTATACACAATGCCATTACGTAAGCAAGCGAGGAGAGGATGGGGGATGAGGGGACTGAACGGCATGCAAGATCTCACACTTACCATTGTGTTCTGCCAGCCTGGATCATCCACACACTGACTCCCATGTGGGGAACACTTTGCGCCGTCCGAGCCTGGATCACAGCAGTGTAAACCCCGAGCCCCATAGCTGATGAAGCTGCGAGCTGGAAACCGTACGGGGTGTCAGGCTTCAACCCTTCCACGGCGTAGAAAGACACGGGCGCAAACGTTACTTTTTGCTAAAAGAAAAAAAAAAATGGCGGCTCATTAATGCAAATGTCTAGTGATAGTTTTCTGAGCCTTTTAAATAAAAATAAATGTTGTCAGTTTAAGTGATGCAGAGAAATAAAAATCTCTTCATATAGAATGGTAAACACTTCAGTAAACAGAAGAAAAGTACTTTAGAAGTGAAACATTTTAATGCCGAACCGAAAATAAATTAGAAGGCAAGCTTTTAAAAGCACCGACGGGCCCTTCGCCCGGGCACACAAGTGAAGGCGGAATATTAAAATATACATTTTAAAGTAAAAGCTGCGTGAATTAGTTACAAGTCTACTGTTCTGGTGAACACAATACATCATTCTATGAATCATCCTCAGACCGCTTACACAAAAGCCATTATTCTGAACAATAATAATTATTACATGATTTACTAATGATCAAATGACAATATTAGGTGCTTATATGCCAACGTTCGGTTCTTTATATATAATAAAAGGTTCGCGTGCTGTAAAGTCTTTTGTCTGCAGGGAGATGTTATTAGAACAATGTCCTTGGAAGGTCTTGCTGTGCAGTCGGCAGAGAGACGGTCTCCTAGTGTTCTATAGAGAGAGTCTAGCGGGGTTATTCACAAAAGGGTGAAGAGTTTGGAGAAGGCCGGAGAAGTGAACAATCTAGTGAACTGGAAAGTGAGCTGAATTGGAGAATTCTTCTAAATCAGCTATTTTGTCCTAGATTGTTCACTTCTCCAAACTCTTCACCCTTTAGTGAATAACCCTGTAGGTCGTGACAAAGCCGATATGGTGTTCTAGAACAAGAGGAATGAATGTCTCTTGTTTTTGTTAAAGGAGTTTGGAGATCCTACGTGGCAGCTGTCCAGGATTAGAGCTTAACAGCCTCCCTTTTTGGGGAAGACTCTCTCCCTTTTTGGTCTTGGCACTTACTATGTCCGACCTCCACTGGCGTGTTAATCCCTCTATTTCTTAATCTTTACTTTTACTTTGCAACTCTTCTCTTCTAAATAAACTATCAAAACCTTTCACCGTGAGCTGAGGTTGTTGTTTTCCTTATGAGGAGCTAGGCTAGAGAAAAGACCTCTCATGGTGGCCAATTTGTACTTTTGGCTGCATCCATTGTTTTTTCTACGCCTGATTAGATTATATGTCACAAATGATGTATATGATGCAGTCTGTCATTGGTATTAACCTGGAAGTTTTTGTTTTTCTGAGCCCGCCCCCTATAGTTTTATCACCCTATCAGTCTGATCAGAGCCCTCCATGGTGGGATCGCCAGGGATTATTTTAAGAGGTGCAGGTTTAAAAAGACTGAAAGCAACTTTTGGAATTCCAATAAGACGTTAACATCCGAAGAATCTGGTTTAGGTCTATTTTAAACTTTTATAAACTGAAGCTACAAGAATGACTTGGCCCGCCGTTATCTTCAGGGCGCATATTCATCATCTACAATAATAAGAGATCCCTAAATGTTTCCGGGCTTCAAGGAGGACTATGAGGTGAGTGATAATCACTCATCCTCATAGTTCGAGTCGACGTGTGACAATCCAACTGTCACACGTCGGCTCAATAGATCGGGAAGTGAGTGAACACATACCGTCGCTCGCTCACTTCTTGATCATCTCCCTGCAGAGAGCCGTGACCGTCACTCACGGCTCCCTGCAGGGATTCCCCCCTCCCCGCTCCGATCCTCCAGCGCTGACTGGCTCTGCCCCTAGATAGGCAAATCCAGCTGTCATTCACGCAGCTGGGTGGATATCGAGAGCATTGTCGGGATCCGTCCCGGCTGCGGTGTCTCAGTATATATGGAGCTGTAGCTCGCTATATACTGAGCTAGGGTCACGGGCGGACGCTAGTATATGTCCTCCCGTAACCCTTAAGAGAACTATGGGGAAAAACACTGACCTCATAGTTCTCCTTTAATTCTTTTTTTTTTAGTACAGTGTAGCGTTCTATAATTTGGGGGTGCTGCCATTACTGGCCATGATTCATCTTTAACCTCCTGTTGTTGGCCTAATGTGAAAACATCTCTTACCTTCGGCCCATCCTGCCCCTCCCAATACTGCAGTTCATAGGAGCTGATGCGTTCCTGCGAGGCGGACTGCCAGGTGAGCATTATCCGGGTGTCCGATTCTGCTTCTGCCTGGAGATTGACTGGCTGGGCCGGAACTGCAGAGAAAACAGAGTAGTTAGACACGGAGCTTGAGCTTTTTCTGTAATATCAATAGTACGACAATTTGGAGGTGGCCAAATCTCTGTAGAAATAACTTTATCAAACCACTCACCTCCCTGTTGGGTCTTGACTTGGACCATATCTGAAGGCGGCCCATCCCCAACAGATGTGAAGGCCAGAACCCGGATGCTGTAAGTGATTCCTGTGGTCAGCCCCCCAATTGTGGTCAGCAGATTGTCCACTACATTGTGCTTCTGCCACATGCTGAAGGGCAGATGTGGGTCAGATGTGTAATATACCCGGAACCCACGGATCTGACCATTGGCTTCCTCTGGGGGATCCCACTGGACGATCATGGTACTGGAGCTGAGCATTCGGGCTTGGACTTTCAAAGGAGGACCTGATGGAGCCTGTTCTCCTGTCCGTGCTTCCACCACTTCACTCGGAGGCCCCCTGCCAATGTTGTTGACTGCGATGATGCGGAATTCATATTCTGAGAAGGGGCTGAGGCCCCCAATACTGTAACGGGTGGTGGCCACACCATCAACCTCCTGGAATGAGCCATCTGACAGCTTGGGCTTATACTGTATGACGTAATAGGACAAAGGTTCAGGGTTTCCAGAATCCCATGTCAAGGTGACACTGGTGGCTGTCGTCTCTGTCACCATCACGGCTACCGGTGGCTTTGGCAAAGCTGGTAGAGCAAAGAAAATAAGATACATAAATGATATTGAATCTCGCCCATTCCTTTTCCCCTCTGCTGCTCCGGTCATGCACACTTACCTTTTACTGTAATTTGTGCCACTGCTTCAATCATGCCAAGGGAAGAGATCGCCACACAGGTGTAATTGGCAGATTCGCGAATATTGGTCAGTTCCAGGACATTGCGGCCTACTGGCATCTCGTCCTCTTTGGTAAGTTCTTCCGCGCCGGCCATCCACTTTACATAAGGCATGGGGGCACCGACTGCAACACAGGTGAGGTTTACACTTCCCCCGGGCATCACTTCGTGGTTACTGGGGGGGATGGAGAAACGTGGGGCCACACGGCGGACTACAAAAATCCAAACGAGAGCAGTGTTTAGGCACCAACAGAGGTGAAGCTTCAGCAATGCAATTAATAACGACTCTATAGAGGGTGATTTGTAAAAGTTGGGAAGACAAAAAAAGTTTGGGGGGGTAGCATGATATGCCAACAATTCACTCACCAGTATACATTTCAACCATCAACTTTAAAAAATATGCCATTTAAAGACGACAAATCCCTGCCTGCACAACTTCTTCAATACCACAGAAGACTCCCCAAGGGTCATTATTGAAAGCTGAAACCAAGTAGCAATACCAAGTACCACAGTGCATAACCTATTCAATGTAAAACATGTTAAAGCCCAACTGCAACCAACATGTATGTCTTAGTTTCAGATAGAGGGAGGAAGGGTTAGAAGCTGTGACATGTTTTATTGTCATCATTGGGATGATTTCCTGAACAAATCCTGTCCTTGTGATTGGTGTCTCTGGAACAGAAAGGGAGGAGTTATGTCCACAAGAAGGACACACACTGCAGCAAAATCACTTTTTTTTTTATTAGAGGAGGAAGAGTCAGAACATCTACCAGGTTTGGATTGCTGTTCGGAGAGCTTCTCTCTCACTTCCCATCTTGGTCACCATAACTGTTGACTTAAGACTGGAATTGAGGAATCCACTCAATGGGAACATAAGAGGTTCTCCCAGTATAGTCAAAAAAATTGTTTTAGTTGGGCTTTAAAAGCAATTATCACAAACATCAAGGCAACACAGAATGCAATAACAGCCTAGATATGACAGAACAGTTTTGTTGTTTAGATCTAGAACATTCTGACTTCCATTATAATTTCAGGAAAACTTGGGATTCCACCAGCCCAGCTGGGTGAGGCCTATGTGGATGGCAATGGTATGATGGTGGTCTTGTTTCCGGTGTTGCATCTTGACCGCTTCCCTTTTACTGTGAGCGCAGCTTGGAGAGGAACGGAGACAGCAATGTGTCCAGCGGCATCAGGTGAGGACGAGAGATGGTAACCATTCACAGAACATGCTTCAAGCAGGAAAGAAGAGGACACGGGAGGGCTGAGGTAGAGGGAGAAATAAGGTGGCTGAAGGGTGGTTGGGTAAAAAAAAAGGAATATTGAGGACCATGCTCCAGTAGTTGTAGACGTCAGGGGTTGCATACATGCACTGTGGTAGACCAGGGCTTATTATGTGAAGGTTTTGTTTATTCTACAGTGGTGTAGTGGTTAGCGCTTCTGCCTTGTAGCAGTGGGGGGTCCCTGGTTCGAATCCCGGCCAAGTCCCTATCTACAATGGAGTTTGCATGTTCTCCCTGTGCTTGCGTGGGTTTCCTCCGGGTACTCCGGTTTCCTCCCACACTCCAAAGACATGCTGGAAGGTTAATTGGCTCCTGTCTAAATTGGCCCTGTATGTATGTATGTATGCGAGATGGGGACCTTAGATTGTAAGCTCCTTGAGGGCAGGGACTGATGTGAATGTGCACTGTGTAAATTGTTGGCGCTCTATAAATAGCTGTAATAAATGAATGCATTCTACTAGGGATGTCCCGATACCGATACTAACATCGGTATCAGGACCGATACAGGGCATTTTGACAAGTACTTGTACTTATCAAAATGCCCCGATACATAGCGCCGATGCTTGTACTATGGTTTTTTTTCTTTATCTTCCGTGCCGAGCGTGTTCGGGTTATCCGGGCAATCGCCTGCCAGCTACATTAGAGCCCCACCTGGAGCGCCTCCCACCGGAGCAGCAGTGACGCGACGCTCCTCTCCCGCTCAGCGCCGACTACATCCTCACGTGTGAGGAAAATCGTTCGGCACCTTGTGAGGCACCAGTAAGTGAGACGGGGCCTGTGCTGAAGTGGGAAGTTTAGAAGTGCTAATGTGAACAAGAAGAATCTATTGCCTGCGTTGTATTGGTAATGTGTACTGTACATGTACTTCATATAGAGTAATAAGTTAAATTATGATCCATAGTGCATAACATGTAGTTGTACTATGGATCATGATTTAACCTCATGTTAGCAGGGGAGAATTGTAAATCTATTGCTGCAGTGTACTCTATATGTAGTACATATACAGTACACATTCCCAATACACTGCAGGCAATAGATTTACAATGATCCCCTGCTAACATGAATAGGTTAAATGATCCGTAGTACAACTTCAAGTTATGTACTATTATGTACTATGGATCATTTAACCCATTCATGTTAGCAGGGGAGGATTGTAAATCTATTGCCTGCAGTGTATTGGGAATGTGTACTGTATATGTACTACATATAGAGTACACTGCAGCTATATATTTACAATTCTCCCCTGCTAACATGAAGAGGTTAAATCATGATCCATAGTGCAACTACATGTTATGTACTATTATGTACTATGGATCATTTAACCTATTCATGTTAACAGGGGAGGATTGTAAATCTATTGCTGCAGTGTTTTAAAAAAAAAGTCACCTGTCCCTTTAAGAAAAAGCATCGGTAATTGGTATCGGCAAGTACATGAGGGGAAGTACTTGGTCTTGAAAAAGTGGTATCGGGACATCCCTTCATTCTACCCATCTTCTGACCCTATACAGTTCTTCAATAACCAGCTGGACACAGGTAAAGGTCTCTGACACCTTTTACCTTACAACGGCTGTATAACACAAAGGTGCTTCAGCTGTTCATTCAGACTGTTAAATCTTTTTTTTTTTTTACCACTGACTGCAATACGACTATTTAAGTCCTCGCGCACAACTTCCACTTCTGTGAGAACGTTAATTAATGATGCAGCAGCAGAGAAGTAGGATTGCACGCCTTTGTGAGTTCCTTGTTCTCAGACTCCGCTGTCACACTGATGAATTACAGAATTAGAGTCAAGTCCACTGATGCATACCGAGGCTGTTAAATTTAGCCCGGGCCTCCACTCTTCAATGACTCCTGGTCACAATCATTTCCAGGGACTTCTTGCTGCTGGACCACAACGCTTAAAAGGAGAACTATGGGGTCAGGGCTTTTCTCCATAGTTCTCCTTAGGGTAACGGGAAGACACAAACTAGCGTCCTCCCGTCACCCTAGGCTCAGTATATAGGGAGCTACAGCTCTCCATATACTGAGACGCCGCAGCCGGAACGGATCCCGACAATTATGTCTGGATCCGCCCAGCTGCGTGAGTGGCAGCTGGCCCTGCCTATCTAGAGGCAGAGCCAGCTGTACCCTCCCCCTCCCCCGTCCGTTCCGCCAGT